ACACCTGTGCAGCCCCCGAGAAAGCCGGCCGGCGGTGTGCCGCTCCCCTGCGGAAGTGGGGAATGTGGCCAGGGGGAACTGCCCTTCCACGGAGGTGGAAGGGATAGTAGCCAACCCGGGAAGAACCAGCAGCAAACCCGGGGAGGGCCGAGCAGACGAAAGAACAGCGCAGGGTCCTGTGTTGCTCCTCCACGAAGAGGGGGAGCGACATACAAATATCTAAAAACAAAGGAAAATATTTAAGAAATAAGAATAAGGAAGACACTATGAGCCCACCAAAGGAATACTACATGATTTCAATATCAGAAGGTGAAGATGAAGAGATAAAGAAATGCCAGAAAAAGAATTCAGAAAGTTAATCATCAAATTACTTAGAATCAAATTCACAAACTAAAGAAAACTATATATGAGATGACTGAAAAATTTTCCCATTAATTGAGATCTTAAAAAGAAATCAAAATGAAATACTAAAAATAAAGAGTTCAATAGATCAAATAAGAATGCAATGGATAATCTTAACAGAGTTGTGAAGCATAAAAAAAGAATATGAGAGCTAGAAGACAAGCGTCTAGAAATTTTATAGTTAGACCAAAAATAAAAAGAAATTAGAAAACTAAACTAAAAAACACTGTTGGTTGGAGATCTACAAGATACTATCAAATGACCCAACATACAGGTCTTTTTTTTTTTTTTTTAAACATGTAGAGTTAGTGAGAGAGAGAGACAGAAAAGTCTCCCTTCTGTTGCTTCACCTCCCAAATGGCTGCTACGTCTGGTGCACTGCACCGATCCGAAGCCAGGAGCCATGTGCTTCCTCCTGGTCTCCCACGTGGGTGCAGGGCCCAAGCATTTGGGCCATCCTCCACTGCCTTCCCGGGCCACAGCAGAGAGCCGGACTGGAAGAGGAGCAACTGGGACTAGAACCCGGGGTGCCAGCACCACAGGCAGAGGATTAACCAAGTGAGCCACAGAGCCGCCCATGGTCTTAGGGAGTCCCTGAAGGCATGGAAAGAGAAAAAGGATTAGGGGCCAGCACTGTGGCTCACTTGGTTAATCCTCTGCCTGCAGCACCAGCATCCCATATAAGCTCTGGGTTCTAGTCCCAGTTGTTCCTCTTCCAGTCCAGCTCTCTGCTGTGGCCCGGGAGGGTAGTGGAGGATGGCCCACGTGCTTGGGTCCCTGCACCTGCATGGGAGACCAGGAGGAAGCACCTGGCTCCTGGCTTTGGATCAGCGCAGCACTGGCCATAGAGGCCACTTCAGGGGTGAACCAACGGAAGGAAGACCTTTCTCTCTCTCTCACTGTCTATACCTCTGTCAAATAAAAAAAGAGAGAGAGACAGAAAGAGAGAGGATTAGTAGGCCTTTTCAATGAGGTAATAACAGAAAACTTCCCTAATTTGGAGAACGAAAGGGACCTCCAAGTACAGGAATCACATAGAGCTCCCAATAGACATGACCAGAAAAGATCTTTACCATGACACATTGTAGTAAAACTCTCCACAGCAAAACAAAGAAAAGATTCTAAAATGTACATGAAAGAAATGCCAGATTACTTTCAGAGGAACCCCAATTAGACTCACAGCAGGCTTCTCATCAGAAACTCTACAGGCTAGGAGAGAATGGTGAGATATATTACAAGTCTTAAGAGAAAAAAAAAACCTGTAAATCCAGAATACTATACCCTGAAAAGCTCTCATTTATGAATGAAGGTGAAATAAAGTCCTTCCATTAAACAGAAATTGAAAGAATTCATCACCACCTGTCTATCCTTACTAAAGGTATTCAAGGATATGCTACACACAGAAACACAGAAACAGGATCAACACTACAAAAGAAGTGAAGTCAGAAATTCTCCCAATAAAAGTACAAAGGAAATCCAAAGTAAAAAATAGGAATATTAAGGAAAAATGCAGGGCAATGTTGTTACTTAACAATAGTCACCTTGAATGTAAATGGCTTCAACTCACCAGTTAAAAGAAACAGACTGGTTGAATGGATTAAAAAATCCATCTATTTGCTGCCTATAATATACACATCTCACCAAGAAAGATCCTTGTAGACTGAAAGTGAAAGGATGGAAAAAGATATTCCATGAAAAAAAAGCAAAAAAAGAGCTGGTGTAATCATACTATCAGAAAAAATAGACTTTAACATAAAAACAGTTAAAAGAGACAAAGAAGGGCACTATATAATGATTAAGGGATTAATTCAACAGGAAGAAGTGACTATCATAAACATATATGTACCTAATTACAGGGAATCTTGTTATTTAAAAGAAATGTTAAGGGATCTAAAGGGATACATAGACTTAAATACAATAGTAATGGGGACTTCAATACCCCACTTTCAGCAATGGATAGATCAGCTAGACAGAAAACCAATAAGGAAATAACAGAGCTAATTGACACCATAGACCAAATAGATCTAGTAGATATCTACAGAGCCTTCCACCCCACAGCCACAGAGTACACATTTTTCTCCCCAGTGCACAGAACTTTCTATAGGATTGACTATATGCTAAACCATAAAGGAAGCCTCAGCAAATTCAAAAAAATCAAAATCATACCATGCATCTTATATTGAATGGAATGAAGCTGGAAATCAAATCAGTAGTCTCAAGAACGTATGCAAACACATGGAGATTGAATAACATGTTCCTGAATGAACAATGGGTCACTGAGTAATTTAAAAGAGAAATCAAAAATTTTCTGAAAACAAATGAAGATGTCAGTACAACATGTCAAATCTTATTAGATACAGCAAAAGCAGAAGTAAGAAGAAAGTTTATAGCATAGCAATTGATGCCTACATCAAGAATTTAGAAAGGCACCATAAAAATGAGCTATAAATGCATCTTTAGGACATAGAAAAACAACAGCAAACTGAACCCAAAACTAGTAAGACAAAAAGAAATAATTAAAATTAGAGAGGAAATAAACAAAACCTAAACAAAAAATATAAAAGATCAGCAAAATGAAGAGCTGGTTCTTTGAAAACATAAACAAAATTGACACATTATTGGACAACTAACCAAAAAAGGAGGGAGAAGACCCACATTAATGAAATTAGAGATGAAAAAGAAAATGGAACAACAGGCATCACAGAAATAGGAAGAATTACCAGAAATTACTACAAAGAGCTATACAACAACAAACCTGGAAACCTAGAGTTTAGATAGATTCCTGAACACATAACCTACCTAAATTGATCCATGAAGACACAGAAAACCTAAACAGACCCATAACTGCATCAGAAAATGAATCAGTAATAAAGATAATCCAAAAAAAAAAAAAAGCCCCAGACCAGACGGCTTCAGCATGAATTCTATCAGACATTCAAAGAACCAATTCCAATCCTTCTCAAACTAGTCAAAACAATTGAAAGTGAGGGACTCCTCCCAAATTCTTTCTATGAAACCAGCATCACCTTAATTCCTAAACCTGAAAAAGATACAATAGAGAAAGAAAACTACAGACCAGTTTCCCTGATGAACATAGATGTAAAAATCCTCAACAAAATAACAAGCCAGTCGAATCCGACAACACATCAGAAAGATCATTCATCTGGACCAAGTAAGATTTATCCCTTGTGTGCAGGGATGGCTCAAGATTCGCAAACCAATCAATGTGATAAATCACACTAACAAACTAAACAAAAACCATATGATTATCTCAATACATACAGGAAAAGCATTTGATAAAAAAAAAACACCCTTTCATGATGAAAATTCTAAGCAAATTGGCTATGGAAGAAATATTCCTCAACACAATCAAGGCACTTTATGACAAATCCATTCCAGCATCCCACTGAGTGGGGAAATGTTGGAATCATTCCCACTGAGATCTGGAATCAGACAAGAATGCCCACTCTCACTATTGCTATTCAATGTAGTTCTGGAAGTTTTAGCCAGAGCCATTAGGCAAGAAAAAGAATTAAGGGATACAAATTGGGAAGGAGAAAGTCAAACTACCCCTATTCACAGATGATATGATCCTTTATATAGGGGGTTCAAAAGACTCCACCAAGAGACTATTGGAACTCATAAAAGAATATTGTAAAGTAGCAGGATATAAAATAAATACACAAAAATCAACAGTCTTTGTATACATAGACAATGCCACGTACAAAAAATATCAAGGATCTGAAAGGTCTCTATGATGAGAATTATAAAACATTAAAGAAAGAAAAGGAAGAAGATACAGAAAAATGGAAAAATCTTCCATGTTCATGGATTGGGAGAATCAATATCATCACAATGTCCATACTGGCAGAGGATCTCAGAGCGATGGCCAGCTGTGGAGTCTGGGGTGTCCCTGTGCCCCTTGGGTCTGACCCGTTCAGCATTCTGCTCCCATGCCAGATTACCTCACTCCTCAGTGCTTTGACTACCACCACCACAGCAAGAATAGCTCCCAGGTTGTACAGCCTCCAGGCGGTGGATCCAGCTTTTTACTTTGATGAAGTAACAGAACAACCTGTGAGGAAGAACAAAATGGCCTCCACCATCTTTGGGACACTTGAAAAAAAAATCCCTTTCCTGGGCCAAGTGTGCAGGTACCAAGTCTGATGGTGGCAGGGAAGATTCAAAGTCATCAGGGCTATAGGGAAGGAACTCCTTGGAAGCCAGCTTGGGAGACTTCTTTGATCTGAAGGGAGAAGGTGCTATTCATGAAAATGTGGACACGGACTTGCAAGCCAGCCTGGGGCAGAGGGAAGAGAAGTCTGTACCTGCTGTGCCTGTGGCCCTTGCCCCATTCAGGAGAAACCACACTGGTGGCAAGTCCAGCCTTGTCATGGGTTAACTCCACCCATGCTCAGCTCTGTTATTTTGTTTTCTCCATGCTTGTGAACTGCACAACTTGACCCTAACTGTATATCTTTTGGATTTGTTTCATTAAAAAAGCAGCACTATATGTAACACAGTCTTTTCTTTCTTCTTGAGGAACAGGTCTCTCCTTCCCCCTCCCCCCTCCCTCTCCCCCTCCCCCTCCTCAGGGTCTCTGGTCCATGGCATGAGTGTTTTCTAGTAGTAGATTTGAGGAAAAGCTTTGTTACACTTAGTGCCATATTTTTAAGAGCAAATACTTTGGTTCCTAATGTGTTAGGGTCTTTTGTACCAAGATTTTGAACACACTTTACTGGGATCCATGAGCCTTAGTACCTGCTGTTCCTGTCATGCCCTACTCGCAAGCCTGCCTTGCTGTGGAGCCTTCTCTTTGGCGTCTCCACCCTGCCAGTGCCTTTGTCCAAGAGCACCACACTGTACCATGTGGCACAAGACAGGCCTGCATCTCATGCCTTACTGCCTGCAAATCAAAGAAACTACTTTTTTTCCTTCAGATAAAGGTAAGCCAGATATTAGCTGGACTGGTTGGGTAATGACAAAGCTAGCTGCCACTAGCAACAGACGGCCTCAGTTGTACAATCAAACTAACCAGAAGGGAAAGTGGTGAAGTGAACGAGGGAGGAGACTGCTCACAATCAAGTGGATCCCACAGGGCATTGTTCTTCCTAAATAACTTGATGCTGTGTACATGATGCTGGTGCTTGACCATGAAACGGAAGTCTCATACTTACAATGTGTGTTGTACTGCACAATCTAGGACTGTTGTCTAAGTAAATGATACCCACATTTTGAGAAAAAAAAATGTCCATACTACCAAAAGCAATTTACAGATTCAGTGAGATACCAATCCAAATACCAAGAACATTCGTCTCAGGTATAGAAAAAATGATGTTGAAGTTTATATGGAAATATAGGAGATTCTGAATAGCTAAAGCAATCTTATAGTAGACAAAAAAAAAAAAACACCAGCTGGAAGCATCACAATACCAGATATCAAGACATACTACAAGGAGTTGTAACCAAAATAGCCTGGTACTGGTACAAAAACAGAAGACAGACTAATGGAATGGAATAGAAATGCCAGAAATCAATACAAGCATCTACAACCAACTTATCTTTGACAAAGGAGCTAAAATCAATCCCTAGGACAAGGATAGTCTCTTCAACAAATGGTGCTGGGAAAACTGGATCTTCACACGCAGAAGTATAAAGCAAGACCCCTACCTTACACCATATACAAAAATATACTCAAAATGGATTAAAGACATAAATCTACGACCTGATACCATCAAATTGCTAGAGAGCATTGGGGAAACCCTGCAAGACATTGGCATAGGCAAAGAGTTCTAGGAAAAGACCCCCAAGGCATAGGCAGTCACAGCCAAAATTGACAAATGGGATTACATCAAATTGGGTGAAAATAAAAAAAAATTATTATAACAAAGATTAGGTTTTCCACAGTAAGATCATACTTATAATCAGAATGGATTCCAGACATATAGGTTCCTCATCTCTGGCTAGGTTCAAATACAGAATCAAAAAGAAAATCTGCTTTGGAAGCATCTATCAGTTTGTACTCCCATTACGGTTGCCAAATATACTGTATTTATGGAATACATCCTATAGGGATTTTGTTCTAGGTCCTGTATGGACTTTGACAGGATGCCCTTTATATTTTATAAAGGAAATTACAGAAATATCACACAGATATTTGTGTTTCAGTAACTGGTGCTTAAATCACTTAAATTATGGCATTAATTGAGTGAAATAATCTACAAATAACAGACTAGAACAACTTCTTACAGTTTCTGCTGTAGTTTTGGTGAAGGAAGATCAATGGCAGGGGATGAGGAGGATGCTAAGAGTTAAAAGTAAATTTTATGGCCGGCACCGCGGCTCATCAGGCTAATCTTCTGCCTTGCAGTGCCGGCATACTGGGTTCTAGTCCCAGTTGGGGCACCAGATTCTGTCCTGGTTGCCCCTCTTCCAGGCCAGCTCTCTGCTGTGGCCAGGGAGTGCAGTGGAGGATGGCCCAAGTGCTTGGGCCCTGCACCCCATGGGAAACCAGGAGAAGCACCTGGCTCCTGCCTTCGGATCAGCGCGGTGTGCAGCGCACCAGCCATGGCGGCCATTGGAGGGTGAACTAACGGCAAAGGAAGACCTTTCTCTCTGTCTCTCTCTCTCACTGTCCACTCTCACTGTCCACTCTGTATTAAGTTAGTTTATACAGTTTTAAGTTAGTTTAATACAGTTTTAAGTAGTTTTTACTATTTAAACTAGTGTTAATGAAAATATAGCATAAACAAGAATATTTGAAATGTTATATTCATAAACAAAAAAGTCTTAAACTCTTTTAAAAGGAAACAGTACTCTGAAGGGAATTCTAAACTAAATCTTTTCGTTTATTTTATAACATTAATACTGGAAATGTTTATTTTGCTATGATTAATTTTGTTTTGCTTTAAAGAAAATGGAAGTAATGTGTTTGTTCTTGTTTAATTAAACTATAGCCTATCTACAAGGGCACTTCAAAAAATTCATAGAAAAATGGAATTAAAAGGGCCGGCGCCGTGGCTCAATAGGCTAATCCTCCACCTTGCAGCGCCAGCACACCAGGTTCTAGTCCTGGTCGGGGCACCAGATTCTGTCCCGGTTGCCTCTCTTCCAGGCCAGCTCTCTGCTGTGGCCCGGGAGTGCAGTGGAGGATGGCCCAAGTGCTTGGGCCCTGCACCCCATGGGAGACCAGGAGAAGCACCTGGCTCTGCCTTCAGATCAGCGCTATGCGCCGGCCACGGCGGCCACTGGAGGGAGAACCAACGGCAAAAGGAAGACCTTTCTCTCTGTCTCTCTCTCTCACTGTCCACTCTGCCTGTCAAAAAAAAAAATGGAATTAAAAGATGAGCGAAGTAGAATATGATGACCATGTAAAGGCAGGAGGGAGTTGGAAATGCACAGGCCTGGGAGATCTGTAAAGCAGTAGAGACAGAGAATACCACAGACCTCAGGCAGATGCTCCTCTGTGTCTCGCTATCCAGTTCTATTCAGAAGGCACAACCCTCTCTACAGCAGTCAGTCTACCTCAAATTTACTGACTACAATGAAAATCATGGCTTACCAGAGATAGCTGTTGTAGATGGAGGAACAATTCCAAGCTTTCCAATCAGACAAGTGTGGAACACTAACTCAACTTCTACCACTGACCAGATACAAGTTTTGGACAAGTCATATCTGTCTCTTCCACCACTGGTTCTGTGCTGGGAGGAGTAGGTGAGACACGGAGTGAACTGAGTGACCACTTACTGTAGACTCATCCATGCTTTCATAGAAAAAATGAATTTCTGAAGGTATGTGCTAAGCATTGTAGAGTTAACTGACAATACTTCCTACCAAGTACAACACAGTTAATAAGTGGAATTTGGCTTCAGATGAAAAAGTGGTACTTTTAGTCTCTGTGTTAAATGAAGAAGCCAAGAAAATACATTTTCAGATCAAAATATTCTTTATTAGAAGCTCTGGACCCTAAATTTAAATACCGGATCAAACAGGTGCATTTGATTTTGTTTTGATTTTATGGGATTAAATTGAAATCACCCCAGTTACTGACAGCACAGTATTTCTAGGTTAAATATGATTCTTTCTTTCCTAATTTAAGCACCACTGTCCTTTTTTTTTCCTTAAACAAATAAGAAAAAATAATTTTAATGGAAGTTCAACCTTTAGAACTCTATTTCATTACTAAGGTAATTTGAAGCATATCTTATACAAATTTTCCATTTTTCTCTTTATATTCTTACACAAGAACATGTGAAAACCAGAAAAACAAAGAGAACTACAGACCAATATCACTCCTGAACATAGATGAAAAAATCCTCAACAAAATATTAGCTAACAGAATCCAACAACACACAAGAGAGATCATTCTCCTGGACCAAGTGCCATTTATCCCTGGTATGCTGGGATGGTTAACATACAAACTAATAAATGTGACACATCATATTAAAAAACTGAAGAATACAAGACATATGATTATTTCAACAGATGCAGAGAAAGCATCTGATAAAATACAACATCCTTTCGTGATAAAAACCTTAAGCAAATTGGGTATAGAAGGAACACTCCTCAGCACTATCAAGGCAATATATGACAAATGCATAGTCAGTGTCATATTTAATGGGGAAAAGATGGAAGCCCCTCCACTAAGATATGAAACCAGATGCCCACTCTCACCATTGTTATTCAATGGAGTTCTGGAAGTTTCAGCCAGTGTCATTAGGCCAGATAATGAAATCAAAATGATACAACTGGGAAAGGAGGAAGTCAAATTATCCCTGTTTGCAGAAGATATGATCCTATACATAAGGGAACAAAAAGACTCCACTAAGAGATTACTGAAACTCACAAGAGAGCTTGGCAGAGTTGCAGGATATGAAATCAACACACAAAAATGAATAGCATTTGAATACAAAGACAGTACCATGGCTGAGAAACAGCTTGTAGGATCAGTCCATTCACAATAGTTACAAAAAATTTAAACACTTTGGAATAATTATAACCCAGGATTTGAAAGATCTCTACAATGAAAATTGTAAAACATAATGAAAAACAGCAGAAGACATTAAAAAATGGGAAAATCTTCCATGTTCATGGATTGGAAGAAATACTATCAAAATATCCCAAAGCAGTTTACAGATTAAATGTAATATCAAATAAAATATCAAAGAGATTTTTCTCAGATTTGGAAAAAATGACCCTAAAATTCATATGGAAATTCATATGGAATCACGAAACTCCAAATATCTTAAAAAATAAAAATATCTGTGGCACAGCAGGTTAACGCCCTGGCCTGAAGAGCCAGCATCCCATATGGGCACTGGTTGGAGACCCGGCTGCTCCACTTCCAGTCCAGCTCTCTGCTATGGCCTGGGAAAGCAGTAGAAGATGGCCCAAGTCCTTGGGTCCCTGAACCCATGTGGGAGATCCGGAGGAGGCTCCTGGCTTTGGATCGGCACAGCTCTGGCCATTGCGGCCAATTGGGGAGTGAACCATTGGATGGAAGACCTCTCTCTCTCTCTGCCTCTCCTCTCCTCTCTCTGTGTAACTCTGACTTTCAAGTAAAATAAATAAATCTTTAAAAAAATATCACTAGAAGCACCACAAAATCAGATTTCAAGACATGTTATAGGGCAGTTTTAATCAGAACAGCCTGATACTAGCACAAGAATAGGTATGTAGACCAATGGAACAGATTAGAGACTCTGGAAATTAATCCACACATCTGTAACTAACGTTTGACACTAACCTAAGATCACTCCCTGGAGAAGAGTTTCTTCAACAAATGGTGTTGGGAAAATTGCAGAACTATGAAACAAGATCCCTATCTTCCCCCTTCCATAAATATCAAGTCAGAATGGATCAGGGATTTCAATCTATGACCTGATACTATCAAAGTATTAGAAGAAAACAGGAGAAACACTGCAAGACATTGACATAGGCAAACACTTGTCAGATAAGGCCCCACAAACACAGGCAATAAAGGCAAAAATAGACAAATCAGATTACATCAAGCCAAGAAGCGACTGCACATCAAAGGAAACTCTGAACAAAAAGAAGAGACAACATACAAAATGGATGAAAATATTTATAAAGTATACAACCAGTAAAGGATTAATATCCAGGATACATGAGGAGCTCAAGAAACTCAACAACAACAAAATAAGCAATCCAGTTAAGAAATGGGCTACAGATATGAACAGGCATTTTTCAAAGGATGAAATTCAACTAGCTGATGCATAGATCAAAAGATGTTCAGGATCACTAGCCACCAGGGAAATGCAAATAAAAACCACAAGGAGGCTTCATCTCACCCAGGTAAGAATGACTATCATCCAGAAATCAAAAAAGAAATGCTGGCAAGGATGTGGGGGAAAGGTACCCTAACGCACTGTTGGGGGGAATGTAAACTCATACAACCATTATGGGAGACAGTATGGAGATTCCTCAGAAATCTGAAAGTAGATCTACCATGTGTCAGAGTCATTCCACTCTGGGAACTTACCCAAATGAAATGAAATCAGCAACTCTGTTCATTGTGGACATTCAGGGAGTAACCAGTGGATGGAAGATCTTGCGTTTTCTCTGCCTTTCCCTTTCTTTCTGTCACTCTCCCTGTCAAAGAAATAAATAAATCTTTAAAAATAAATAAATTAGTCTTACTTTGGAATGTTTAGTAATTCTTAGTAAATGAAGCACAAAATATGTAATTATATTCATAGGCTTAAAAAACTTAGAAATAGTTGTTTCATAAGTACATATGGAAATATAACATGAAGGACATTCAACAATTTCTTAATGGTAAGAGAATTATGAGTGACTTTAGTTTTCCTTTATAAAAAATAATTTCTGTACTTCAAATTTTCTAAAATAAACAATATGTGTCACTCAATCCATGTATTTTGAGTAATTCAAGTATGACTCACAACTAAGCAATGGCAGGAGATTCCTTGGTGAACACATCAAACTTGATCCTTGAATTTATCATTTAGAAAGTTTAAAATTTCAGACACCATGTTATATGTGACATATTTCCAAGTGTTTTGCACACAAACAAAATCACATATACACACTTAAAAAAGGAAAATGATATATTTTCTGTAGAATAAATACAAGACTATATTGAAAAGTCACAAAAATTGTTGTACTTTTATACTCATCTGCCTGCAAATAATGGCATAAGCAATAATTTAAGTGGAAGCCTTATGCATATATTAAAATTTTATTGTATTTCATAATAAAGATGCTTTTTATAAATAGTGATTTACATATGCTTATAAATGTTTAAAATATTTAAATATAGAAAGAGCCTCCCTAAGGTCACCACTGAAATACTACCAGGTTAGGAGCAGGAGTATCAGAGAGTATAACACTGGTCATAATTTGGAGATGCAAATGTCCCATTTCACTTCCTTCAGCACTGCAATGCTTGATATCTAAACAACAGATAGTTTTTCATGTCTTCCCATTACCTGAAAGCATTTTATCTTAAGTTTTTTAAAGTCAAGTGAAAATCAGATGAAAATATAGCCCTTATTCAATGTTATTTCTATAAACAAGTCCTTTAGCCACACTCACACTCCAATACACTCAACCCACACTTTGTATTTGCCCTACTGCCAGGCATGCATGCATGTGGAAATGTCCCTCTAACTCACAGTGTCCTTCATTTGCCCTTGTCTGTGACCTATTTTATCTCCATAGTCACTTGCTGAAACCATGTTTTCTTAAGGAACTAAGTGAAATGCCAGCTCATCGGCAAAGTGCTTTGCTACATTCTGACAGTAATTTCTCATTTTTGTGGTTTTTTTTTTCTGCAATTACCACATGTCTTTTATTCTGATGTTTAGTCTCATGTGTATAGATGTACATTTCTCTCCATTTTGGCTATAAATCTTCCAACAGAGTGTTCAGGCTTCTAATGTTATACTCTTCAAAATCAGAACCAAGCATAATGACTAATTCCTTCTGGGAACATGATATGTATTTACTAGAATAAATCAATTCAATTCAATATTGGTACAGGTCTTTGAGAACATCCTTCCCACAGAACAAAGGAGTTCCAGAGTTTATGTGGAAATAGCTGATTCAATAAAATGTAAGCTGTGATCCAAAATATTGCAATGAAAAACCAGCAGGCTAAAGGTTTTGTTTTATGAAATAACAATTTCTATATATTTGTTTAGGTACATGATTATACAAATGTTTATGTATAACTTTAACTTCATATTTAGAAAACATTTTTCTAAATGTGTGCATTTTCTTATATATCTTCAAGCATTCCTCTAGTGAACTCTGTATGTCTCATGAGTTAAAATGTCATCTGTGCCAGTGGGTATTTCTAGCTTAAATCTGGATTAGTCCCATTTACATAAATTGACATAAGCACAAATAAGTCATATGAGTGTTTTAAATTGTTGCCTAAAACAGGATTTTTTAAATTCAGAATCTTGTAGGAGTCTGGAGGTAGCTCGCGTTTCATGGTGAAATCTTCAGAGCAAATGAGAGATTTCTGTTTCCATCTTCTGCTCTGGCTTTTTCACTGCTGCCATGGTTTATGCACCTGCAGATACTGCTCAAGAGCAATGTCTTCCGCCACTCCCTAAATGACTCAGACGCAGCTCATTGCTGGTATGTCACTGGTGTCAAACAGCCACCTAGAGAACAGAGATCCTCTTATGTCTTCTCTAAAATGTGCTATCATTGTTTCCTGCCAATCTCTTGTTCCACAGTGGTGCCAGCCAGCATCATTGCAGTTGCAAGGTATAAATTAACAGCTCTGGATTGAGCTTCATTCATGCATTCATTGCACGACAGGTCTTAAATTATCATTCTAAAGCTAATTAAGTTATACTTTCACTCACAATCTGCGTAATATTTTAGTAATAATTTTATTTATAAATGACAGTAACTGACATCCTTTAAAAATATTAACAATTTTTTTTTTTTTTTTTGCCAGGCAGAGTTAGACAGTGAGAGAGACAGAGAGAGAGTTATAGACAGTGAGAGACAGAGAGAAAGGTCTTCCTTCAGTTGGTTCACTCCCCTAATGGCCGCTACGGCCGGCTCTGTGCCAATCCGAAGCCAGCAGCCGGGTGCTTCTTCCTGGTCTCCCATGCGGGTGCAGGCGCCCAAGCACTTGGGCCATCCTCCACTGCCTTCCCAGGCCACAGCAGAGAGCTGGACTGAAAGAGGAGCAACCCGGACAGAATCTGGCACCCCAACTGGGACTAGAACCCAGGGTGCCGGCACCACAGGCGGAGGATTAGCCAAGTGAGCCACAACGCCAGCCAATATGAACAATTAAAGCTGCTTTTATCTTGGCTTGGTAGTCACATCAAATTTGAAATTTTCCCCTCAAAATTAATATTAATACTTCGACCCAATTAATTGCATATTTGGAAAGTATACTTTGTGTAGCAAGAAACTTTCTTGGCCGGCGCTGTGGCTCACTAGGCTAATCCTCTGCCTTATGGCGCCGGCACACCGGGTTCTCGTCCCAGTCGGGGTGCCGGATTCTGTCCCGGTTGCCCCTCTTCCAGGCCAGCTCTCTGCTGTGGCCAGGCAGTGCAGTGGAGGATGGCCCAAGTACTTAGGCCCTGCACCCCATGGGAGACCAGGATAAGTATCTGGCTCCTGCCATCGGATCAGCGCGGTGCGCTGGCCACAGCGCGCCGGCCGCAGTGGCCATTGGAGGGTGAACCAAGGGCAAAGGAAGACCTTTCTCTCTGTCTTTCTCTCACTGTCCACTCTGCCTGTCAAAAAAATAATAATAAAAAAAGAAACTTTCTTGCTGATATAATCTATTTTCATATATTAATGTGATATCTACTTTGAATGATGATCCAACTGGAAATTAATCCCTCATTTCAGTCTTTAGAATGCATATAACAAGGTATTTTTAAAATTCATCATTCATTTCTAGGTCAAATTGACTGACTACCTAAGCTTTCACTTGGAAATGACAGAACAACCAATACTAGACAAACAGGAAGGATGCCTTCAGAGGGAGTTTTATTGAAGAATTTCTTAAAGTTATAAAACAGATGGGATTTAATTGGAAAAGAAACCCCACAGAGTTGAGCAAATGATAACTCAGTGGGAACTTCTGAAAAAAGAAAGTTTCCCAAATAGAACACCAGAAAACCCACCAGGATAGGGAAAAGTTTAGATGGGGAGCCAAGGTAATCCCTGGAGCAACTGGCAAGGTAATTAATTAAAGTGCTGTGGAACTGCTGTGCTGGGACGTGAGCTCTTGGGCACAGGCTTGCAGAGCTCCAAATTAAGTGGGGGACCTGCCCAAGGGAATTACCAGGGGGAGTCTGGTGCCAGGAAAAGAAGTAGGGCAAGACCCTGGCTGACTTCCAGCTACAAAGTCGACACCAAGTCCCTCCATGGGGATCAGTGAAACAGAACGGATGGCCTTTTCACAGAACATAAAGATTCCAAGAGAAAAGCCAGCAAATGTGTTTAGAAACCTGAATGAGGAAACTCTTCATCCTCATGCAAATTCCAGAAGTCATAAAGAAAAGATTGGCACATTTGATCATTCTGTAAATTCACCTTCTTCTGCATCAGAATTATCACAAAAATGGTCAGATAAATAAATGCATGGGGAGCATATGTTCACTATCTGCAACACACAAAAATATGATCGAATTAATGTACAGAGTGCTTTAAATCAATAATAAAATATTGTCCAATAGAAAAATATTCAATGGGCAGGTAACTCACTAAAAATAAACTAACATAGGCATTTAAAATTTTTTTCATAATCAAGGTAATATAAATAAAAATAATGCTGTACCATAAGGACAAATATTTAAGAAAAACTATACAATTTTAGAAAAAGTGTGGAAAAAAAAGAACACATTCTTTTACCTTTTTTTGAGTGGAAATTAATATAAACATTTTGAAGTACATGTGTTAGGATTTACCAAAATCTAGTATCAATACTGGTAAAAAAATTAATAAAAACCATTTCCTTCTCCATGAGGAGTGGACTTTACCTTCTCTTAATTTTCTCTCTTCTGCCTGAAATTTGATAAATGTAAGATGTCAGAAATGGAAAATTTGCTGCTGATGAAAATAGATGGCGTCCATGAAATGCCACTGTGTGGTCGCACTCCAGGTAGCCAGGATCCAGAATTTCATGAAAAATCTCTCATGAAAGAAAAACACCTGATTCTGCTCCTGGAAAACTGAGTTTACCTCCCCACACATGCGGGAGATCCAGAGTTCCTGGCTCCTGGCTTTGACCTAGCCCAGTACTGGCCATTGTGAGTAGTGAAACAGAAGATAGAAGATCACACTCTCCCTCTCTCTCCCCCCTCCCTTCCTCCCTCTCTCTCTCTCCCCTTTTTTTTTTGCCCTGTTTATAACTTTGTGACTCTTTGAAAATAAATAAATCTTATTCATACTGTTGATGTATACTTCAACCTGGATGCATTTCCAGAAAGTTATACTGTGTGAAAAAACTCAGTCTCAAAAGATTGCATACCCCATGATTCCATTCACATAATATTCTTTAAATAGCAAATTAGAGAGGGCAAAACAGATTCCTCATTGCCATGTGTAGGAAAAGCAGTGGTTGTGATTAAAATGGAAGCATGGCC